TTTAAAAAAAATAAGGCTAATATCCACCTCCCGTAGCCGTGGTGAAGGTCACATCAGATGACGTGTCTTCAACACTTTGTCATCTATAAGATGCTTTAAAAATGGAAGGGTGTGCTGTTGTCAGGAAGAAATTGATGGTAGTGATGACTGAGCAGGTCAGACCACAGAGAGATAATGATACACAACTTCAAAAGTAACACACAGGCATCCCATCACTGCGGGAGTTGTTCCAGTGACCAGGCAGGTACAAACAGGTAAAGGGTCTTGGAAGCAGATACTACTGGTAGCAGCATACTTGTAGGATCGGGGCAGGCAGATGGGAAAAAGACTGCTTGATCTTAAACTATCAAATTTTCTGTAAACACTGAAGTTTGTAAGGCCACTTGACACATCTTTTAAACCAAACTGCCTACACATAAGACTTCCTTGTAAATATTTTTGAGACTTCGATTTATAAGGGAAGGAAATACTAATTTTATAAAAACGTTAAGGTGTTCTATCTGTATATGAAAACTTTAATGACTTACTTTTTGTCTACTATTTGATATAACCTGAAAGTAAATCTGCCCCTACCCCCACCCATTGATGGCATCAAAAGGTATCAGATATGTAGTCTGAGTATGCAGGCCTACCTCACAGATATTGTGGGTGTGGGCTCCATTTTAGACCACTACAACAAAGCAAATATTTCAATAAAGCAAGTCACATGAATTTGGGGATTTCCCATTGCATAGAGAAGTTATGTTTATTCTGTAGATTAAGTGTGAGACAGCGTTGTGAAGATGTTCAGAATGTGAAAATTAATGAAATATGACACAGAGACAGGAATTGAGCACATGCTGTTGGAAAAATGGCACTGACCTTGCATTTTTAACAAAGTTTCAGTTGTTAAAATATGCAAGCTCTGTGAAGGTCAATAAAGCAGAGTACAATAAAATGCAGTATGTCTGCCTAGCACTGCAGAACACATACTAGAGACTAGGGTTTGAGTCCTTGCCCTGCAACCTACTAATTGTGTTACCTCGGGTAAGTTACTTCATTGCTTTCTCCTTCACTTTAAAAATATATATATTTTGTTAACCTCCCCATCAGAATCCCTCCAAGTGCCTCATCAGCCTTTGAGTAAATGGCCACTGTTTATATTATATTCCTAAAGACAAAACAAGAGTAGCATTCAGTCAGGTGGCTTAGCTGATACTGATCCGTACCCCTGAAAGCAGAATTAGCAGACATATCTGGCCTGGCTATAAAACCTGTTTGAAACTGATTTCTATCATTTCTGAAAAATATAATTTTGCTCTAGCATCCTAAAGTGTGCCATGTCCTCTTTTCAACAAACAACTTCCTAATCTTTCTTATATGTCATACTAAATTAACTTTGAGCAACAAAATCCAAATGAAATTCCCTATTAATAGCCCCAGGATAATTACTCTATAACAATAATAGCAATTATTTCAATTCCCCAAGGATCTAGTTAGTACATACCAGCCACTAGACCAGCCACTTTTTAAAAGCTATCGCATTTAATCTTTAGAATTAGTCGATGAAATATTTGATATTGTCAACATTTTATAAATGAAATGGCTGACGATTTTGCTTTTATCAGACCTGACTAGGAAGTAGTAGATTGCAAATGAAATCCTGGTCTGGCTGCTTTAACTCTCTGGAAACCATTTGACTCTTCTTTCCACCTCAGTGCATTCTCTCTGGGGAGCTCATGATTTAATAATACCCAAATAGAGTGAGAGTTTAAAACACCGAAAAAGTAATCTGGGAGGTTGGCCATATCTCACCAAAAGCAAAAAAATCTACTAACTGGTCAAAATATAATTATTCCATCTTTGTAAAGCATATGTGATTAGTGTAAGCGCATAGTGAAAAGAGAGATCAGAAAGACAGCGTTTGATTTCTCCAGTAACCTATTTACCGCGCAACTGGGATAAAAAGTTTTGACTTAAAAATCCAGCATCCCAAAGTGGCCCTTTGAGCAAATACAAGCAGTTGGAGTGAAAAACGTAAACAAAAATCCAGCATCCCAAAGTGGCCCTTTGAGCAAACGCAAAGAGTTGGAGTGAAAAACGTAAACAAGGGAACAATGCAATTAGTATTTGGCAGGCAAAGTAAGATCTGGCTGAAGTAAAACTGCAAAAGTAATTGGTTCTAATTAAGCAACAATTCCGTCAACAGCAAAACTGAGTGCTCTGTTTTGGGAGGTCACCATCTCCACACGCTCTGAGAAGAACCTCTCAGGAAACTGGTGATGGGACGCTTCACCAGTTGGCTTAAACATTGTGACCACAGTAATATTTTCAAGGACAGCCATAGCTCTTTTCATTTGCTCTTTAAAGGGAATTTGTTGCTGAATCAACTTTTGAGCATCATTTGGGTTTACAATTGTTCCAGCAGGTCAGCAATCGATATTAGATAGAGCAAGCATGTATGCAAACCATAACCAAATGTCCCTGTGGGTTTCCAAGATTATATAACTCTATGGGAGCAGAGAGCTTTATCTTTTTTCTGATGATTTTGAACTGCTGACCTTGCGGTTAGCAGCCCAACGCATAACCACTACACCACTAGGGCTCTTCCATCCTGTAAGAAGTGAGAAAAAAGGTCCAAGTATCTCTGAACATGAACAGTGACACTGTTTCCTGATGCATTCACATTTCGCTTTGCTCTAACACAAGGGTTCACTAAGCTATAAAGACTGTTTGACTCATTTTGCTCTGCTCCTTGTTACCATGCACTGCCACTTTGCCACATCCATCAGCCTCTTTCCACAGAGAGAGGCTGCCATTCAGCCTTGGAACATACAACTGCTGAGTGAGAGACTGAACAGAAAGTACACACTGGGGGCTTCTGGCTCCTCCATTCCTGTATCTTAAAAAATGACCAAATCAGGGCTGGAAAGAGTGAAAGCTTTGAACAAGGAGTCCTTGTTCTCTATCTTCCCTAACTCATGTTTATGTACATAGTATTTGATGTTATCTAGAATGGCCTATATTTTAGAGATCATTGATTTACAAAAGTGATCATTTTTCCATATTCTTGTTCTGTACATTGAAAACCTCTATGTTAGCTAAGTATCTATTGAGACGCCACACTAGGAATGCTCAGAAGATGCCTGGATACTAACTGAAAGGTTGGCCATCAAACCCATCAGCTGTTTCTTTAGAGAAAGTCTGTCTCTGTGAAGACTGATAATCTTAGAAACCTTGTTGGGCAGGTCTTACTCTGTCCTACTAGGTTGCTAAGAGTTGGAAATGACCAAAACTCAAAACGAAAACAAACAAACAAACCCCAAGCACTGCCATTGAGTCAACTAACTACCAGCTATCCATCATAGGATTTTCCAACATTTAAAAGGCCAACCTTATTGGTTAGCAGCAGTTCAACACTTACTGCCCAGCACCTCCAGGACTCCTGTATCTATTGCACCAAATACTTCAAATTTGCACCTGGGCACCTGCCTTGTCCGTATAACAAGAAGAATACACCAAAACCACTTGGATTTCACCAATACATTTTCACAATTCCATTCCATTTTTAAGTAACTTATTTCCCTAAGTTCTTTTTAAAATGTTAAGCCAAAGATTTTTCATCATAATGGATATAAATATGTGAATTCAAAGCCATCCTCACTCCATGGAGAGGTAGGGCAAAATAAAGGGTTATACATACAGACAGAAAACTGCAGAAACAAGGGAGAAAGAAGAGAGAGAATGTCTAAGAGTCCTCCCACAGGCTCAGGAATGGGAGCCCAATCTTGGTAGGCAAATCTTAGTTTGCAGGTCTTTTGAAGTAAGAGCAGATATAAAGCTAGGAATTCGCGCATTTCAGATAAACTGTGTTTGTTCTGCAAATGAGGTCAACTTTCTTACTAATAAAGCCATGTAGCCATTCCACAAAGACATCAAGATAACTTGTCTTAGAGACACCCCCCCCACACACACACACACCTTGTTAAATCATCTTCAATATGGGTTGTGCAATCACGTTCTGTTCTACCGCACCCTCCCCACTCTCACCCTCAGGATCCGCTTCTGAAATCCCTTTCTGTCCCCATAGCCCCCCACCCCCATCCCTGCATCCCCTCTAACACCTTGTAGCAGTCATTATCATCATACGGCTACTCCTCCTGTGTTTCACAGGAAACAGAATTCAACAGAAAACAATGAAAAGCAAATCTGCACTAAGGGGGTAAGGATAAGATCATACTAGTGTAAAGACAAAAATAAAAACAATGCATGAGAGGAAGAACACGCCCCCTCTCCCAAATCAACATTCAAAAGGGAAGAAACTTGTCATGGAACAACTAAGAGATACTTGCACCCAGAACAATTTCAGATAGTTTCTTAAGAAGGTTAACTGGCCAAGTACCAGTGTTTGATCCAGCATAAGCAAGATTGCAATGGTCTTGGCCTTATAGCAAGGATGCTCAAGATTCTTGGCGCTTGATTGGAGGATATGCCAGCAGCTTGGTCTGACTAGATACTCTCTCTGCAGATGGGGTTTTGGCTCCCATAATTTCCCTTGATATGATTGAACGATTGAACTACCCAATTGTATGATATATAAATTATGTGCCAATAAAATTGTTGGGGGGAAGAAACCAACCAGTAAAAGAAAAAAATATATAACTTTTCTACTCATCAAATATTTCATCATAATTGATAAACATTTAGAGCTTACCAAGTTATTCTTGAGTTCAGTGAAGGTACTGGTTAGAAAAAGCCCTTTCCCATGAGTAGGAAGCGGATAATTTATGAATGTATCCTGAAACCATCTCGGTATTTATTCATCTAAAAGCAGGAATGAACTCTTCACACCATTCTCTATCCTCAACAGGCACACTTCCTCCCCCACCCAGAGCCTCCACGGAGAAGTGTTCTAATGAACACGGAGGGCGGCAGAAAGGCGCACACTCAACACACCCCAGACCGTACCTGCGCCCACCACGAGGGCCTTGGGCCCGCAGCTGCTCAGGCAGTGCAGGAGCGATTTGGAGCGGATGTTGGAGTTGAGGAAGGCCACTACGAAGCCCAGCTTGGCCAGGCCGAACCACACATGGACAAAGTCGGGTTCATTGCTCATCAGCAGGGCCACCGTGTCCCCCTTTTTCAGCGTGGAATGGGTCAAGAAGACATTGGCCACTCGGCTGCTCCTTCGGTCCACATCCCGATAGGTGTGGATGTCTCCCTCGTAGATGATGAAGGGTTTGTGGGGCTGCGCTTTGGCGTGGCTCAAGAACTTATCAAGCACAGTAACCAGCTCCCCTCTTCTTCTGAAGATCTCCAACCGAATTCCGTAGCCTGTCACCTTCAGCAGGTAGCAGACGTCCTGCCAGAAGTAGGGGAACAGGAATTTCTGCACCAAGTGCAGGAAGACCAGCGTGGCCCCCAGTCCTGTTAGCCACGACAGAAGCATGGGTGCAGCGCCACCAGGCACCTCTCACCCCACGTGGAGCAGCGACCTCCTCCTCCGAGGGCAGCTCTCGGGACCGCAGGTCCTCACTGCGCTGGGCGGGCACCTGCAGGGAGCGGGAGCCTGCGGAAGAGAAGCGCACTTTGGCCCCGAGAAGGATGCGCCAGGGGCGTGGGAGAATGCGCCTCGGGACACCCGGCCACCGGGCGGCTGGAGACGGCGAGCGAGCGCGGGGCTCCTGCGCGCAACCCACGCAGCCCCGCCGACGCCGCGGCACGTACCCGCGGAGAGGCTTCCTGGAGCTCGGACGGCTGCGGCGGTGCCCGGTCCTGGTGCCGGCGAGCTGCCCGGTGTGCCAGCCCGGTCTCCGGTCGCCCGCCCCTGCCTGCCTCCCTCCTTCCCTCCGAGAAGCACGTTCAGCAGCTGCCGGGCTCCCTCGGGAGAGCCGTGCCAGAAGCTGCCACGTGGAGGCTGAAAGGCAGCCGGAGCCGCTGAGAAGAGAAAGGCAACCGCTTCGGGATGGGCCATCCCGAGGCGCGCAGGGCCCCCGGGCCACGCCTCCGCCCAGGGTGCCC